TTGCTTTAAAAATCGATAACTTTCCCCGTTATTTTGTTAGCGATTAAAAGCATTATCGAAAATCCATAATAAATTTATATCTGCTACATCTTTAAAGCTAGAGTCGCCAAATTTTTAATGTAGATTCATATGTATGTATGTACTTTATAGAATTTCGATTTTTGTTTACCCCTCACCCCTATATTGATCCCCTTAACCACATATTTGTAAAATGAGTATTTCAAATACTAGAGACTTGTGATTTGGCAAATGCATGCATATCCATGTTATCATAATCTGGAAGTTTCATGAAGAAAGTACATCCACAAGAAAAGCTATTAAACAATTAAGTTCTCATAGTAAGCGCTCACTGCCGCCCATGCGTGTTTAGGCGTGGGTGCTTGTGTGCGTGTGTGTGTGTGTATGTGTGTATGCGATTAAAATAGCTATTGCTTGAAGGGTTCAGGGGATCTCGTAGTCGAGCAGTCTCGACTAGTGCTTTCTTACTTGTTTTTTTTTTTTTTATTATATATATATTTTTTTGACAAGCATGTTTGATTTTAGTTCAAAATCGAGTGACAGGGACTTTTAAGTGCCAATATACTATCTTATTTGATAACCATAACATGTAACCATACATGTGTAAAAAACAAAAACCAGATCACTCAGAGTTCAGGAGACCTAGTCGGGCTCTCCCGTTAGGGCAATCTTACTTGTTAACTTTGGTATTTATTACAAACTCAGTATATGTATATATATAATTGCTTATATACGTATTTAACGAACGCCTATTAATTATTCTCTATGCCGTCTGCAATGAGTACGTCCTTAGCTACTATTTCTACTATGCTCATATCATAATATCATTATGATCACCATGAAAAACATGTGTAAATAAATTTGATTTCAAATAACACAAACTAAAATAAATTATAATAAACTGAATTAACCAAATTTTGAATCGAAAAATGTTGAATTTGTTTTAGTATTATATATATTGGACAAATTTGCAGTAGTTAAAATATATAACCTTTCACTTGTATAGGGCGACACGGATTTTGGTGACAGCAATGACGGCATGGACTCAGATACGAGCACTTCTTCCAGTAATAGTAAACAGGTTGTTGTGGGCATCTGTGCAATGGCCAAGAAGACACAATCGAAGCCTATGAAGGAGATATTGACACGACTCGGCGAGTTTGAGTTCATCAAGCTGGTTACTTTTGAGGAAAATGTGATATTGAGAGAGCCTGTGCAAAATTGGCCCATATGCGATTGTCTTGTGTCTTTTCATTCCAAGGGCTTTCCACTGGAAAAGGCTATCGAGTATGCCCAGCTACGCAATCCCTTTGTGCTCAACAATTTGCATATGCAATACGATATACAGGACAGACGACGAGTTTATGCCATTCTGGAAAAAGAGGGCATTGAGATACCGCGTTATGCTGTGCTCGATCGAGATTCTCCTGATCCGAAACGTAAGTGATAGATTGTCCAACTCAACAGTTTGTTTCAATGCAGATCAATTTGCAGATCATGAACTTATTGAGTCTGAAGATCATGTGGAGGTCAATGGAATTACATTTAATAAACCATTCGTTGAAAAACCCGTTTCGGCCGAGGATCACAACATCTATATCTACTATCCGACATCTGCTGGCGGCGGTAGTCAGCGTTTATTTCGTAAAATCGGTAGCCGCAGCAGCGTTTACTCACCGGAATCGCGTGTCCGTAAAACTGGATCATTCATCTACGAGGACTTCATGCCTACCGATGGTATGCTAACTTGTTATCTGTGTTCCTCTAAACTTTCGAATGTGCCTATCAATGTAGACGCTATTCCAGTATATAATACCCAATGCTGGACTAGATTAACCACATGCGCTTCCTTCTTATTTTATATATATAAAATCTAGTCCAACAATGGCTATACAGATATTCCAAAAAAGTCCTACCAATTTGGTATGTAGGTCCGCGTCGACCACCCAAGCTCCCGAGCTATGGCGGATATATCTCCGCCCATTGCAGTCGGACCAAAAGATATAGTGATTTTTCGAATTCGGCTATATTTTGGGCACTATTGATGCTAGAGACCTGAAATTTGTTATATATATGCGGGTTGACCAACCAAGTCCAACGAGCTATGGTAGATATATGTCCGCCCATAGGGGACGTGGCAAACCGCAAAAGGTTATATCTCCTACAGTTTAAGAGCTAGAAGCTTCAAATTCAGATAGTTCAGTTACTGGTAGCCTCCTCTATCGATGCCCCAAAAATAATTTCTTCGCCTCTTTTGGGGCGTGGCATATCGAAAAATACCCTGTAATTTTCACATTTCTTGAGCGTAAGAATTCAAATTTACATTTTGCATATAAGTTACCGGTTGCTCGTTCTAAGAATTGGCCAAAAATGAGGAGTCTACGGCCACTAGGGGCGTGACTATCGGCATTTATAGGGCCCATATTGCGGCATTTATATGCGTCAGGCATCTATTTATGTATTTGTACACATAAATAGGCTTAATAGGCATTCATAGTACGGAAGGAAACATTTTTATGAAATTTAAAAAATATAAAAGAAGCTAAAATAACAAAAATTTACAATTTACAAAAAAAAGTTTTCCGCGGGATTTGAACTCGCACCCAAACCGAATAGCATGTTCATGTCAAAATAACTAAAATAAGAATCGCCGGCGCTTCTGCCTACACCGCGTCGTTTCGAACAACAGTAACCAAAACGAAATCGCATTATTGCTATGACGCCATATAGCAAAACAAGTAAGAAAGCTCCAGTCGAGAGCAGTCTCGAGAGTCAGCAGGGCGCGTGATTATACGTTCGTGTGGATGCGTGTGTATGCATGTGTGCATAAAAGAAGTGAAAAATGATTATAATATCAGCTTGGAGGGTTCAGGGTATCTCCCAGTTGAGGAGTGTCGACTGGAGCCTTCTTACTTGTTTATTTTTATTTTATTTTTTTTTTAATATTTTAGTAGTTGTACATGAATAAAAGCATTAGAAATGATTTTCAATATATTTAATTCATTAATTATAATAAAATAAATAAAATTCGAAGTATCATATTTCATTGCATAGTGTCTCAATAATAAGAACAAAATGTGCAATAGAAGTGCTCAAAACTGAAGTTTTGCACTTGTTCGGCTTTGTGATGTATTATGATAAAATGTAAAAGTGGTTTATATTAGTTAAATTTGATGGATTAGTCATAAAAATATATTAGCAAAACATGCTTTCATTGACTTTGAATGTTTTGGCTGTGGTTGACCTTTCTGGAGAAATGCCCATGTACTTTATGGGGTCTGCCACGTCTACTTCTGCCTGTTACATACACTTCAAAAAAAAAAAAAAAAAAAAAAAAAAACATTGTACCCTGATTTCCCATGTGTAATGGGTTCAGGGTATAAAAATATAAGTCAGAATTTTACGGTCGGATATTATCGATCGTTCAGAGCTGAAATTACTGTTCTGAAATTACAAATGAGCTGTTAATGAAAATATACCCACATCACATAATTAAAAGCAAAAAAATTGATCACCTATTTTTCGTGCGTCTCGCTCGCTCGTTCGCCGATCGCTGCTCGCTGCTCTCATTGTCAAAATCTTTAAGAAAAAAGTGGCCGCCAGTCGAACGCACTGAATCCAGCATTACCTTTACAACTTAGTATACTTTTCAGGCACTGATGTGAAGGTCTACACTGTTGGCCCAGACTATGCCCATGCGGAGGCACGCAAAAGCCCAGCGCTCGATGGCAAAGTAGAGCGCGATAGCGAAGGAAAAGAAATCCGCTATCCAGTTATACTCAATCACTCGGAGAAGCTTATCTCGCGCAAGGTGTGCCTTGCCTTTAAACAGACTGTTTGCGGCTTTGATTTGCTGCGCGCCAATGGCAAAAGCTATGTCTGCGATGTCAACGGATTTAGTTTCGTAAAGAATTCTAATAAGTACTACGATGACTGCGCTAAAATATTGGGCAACATGATATTGCGAGAGCTGACACCGACCCTTCACATACCTTGGTCTGTGCCATTTCAATTAGACGATCCTCCCATTGTGCCCACAACTTTTGGCAAAATGATGGAGTTGCGCTGCGTGGTGGCAGTCATACGCCATGGCGATCGCACGCCCAAACAGAAAATGAAGGTCGAAGTGCGACATCCCAAGTAAGTTAGACCAAGTAGCTAAAATTTCGATTATTTCACAAAATAGCTTACAGTGTACGGTCAAAATGATTGATTATTTAGCATAAAATCATAATTTTTATGTTTACACAAATCTAAATTTGGTTTTATTTTATTAATTGTAAGTTCAAGAGATAAGAAAAAAAATCTTTTTGAAATTAAACTACAACTAAATAACATTTCACCTCGTAGAGCAACAATTTACTCTTGAATGTTAACATAACGACGACATTAAAAGCTCTTTGAATTTACATATTTTTGTGTAATACGCAGTGTTGCGAAATCAGTTCTTTTCCGTCTAATCTGGCCTTTTTGAAAATCCAATCGCGGGAAAAATTCCATAAGGGGGCAGCGGGAATTCTGGACTTTAATTTTCTAACAGAGCTTATAAGGCAATTAAAAAGAAGKTATGCAAATGATTTGATTGCATGTAGCACAAGAATTTATGTTCTAATAAAATCTGAATATTGAACAAAAATATATAAAATATTCACCTAATAGTGGAAAATACTAAATAAACTACAAAATTTTGAGTTGAAAAGGGTATCTGTAAGGATTCGGATTTTTAGTCAGGCCAATACTGTGAAACCCATACTACACAATGCAACGAATATTGATATGCTTAACTCAAGTGGCAAAAATGACTACAAGTCGCTAAAAATTTAATTAAATATGATTGGTAATATGGACAAAATACTGAGCAATTTGTAAAGTAAAGAAATTAAATCTAAGCAAAAAATATCAGCGTTTTTGTCCGATTTTTTTCTCAAAATTTCCGTTTTTTTTTTTTAAGTATCTTCCTACTAAAAACAGCTCATTCACGAAAGTGAATTAGTATATGGGTTTTGTGCAATGTCCGTCTTGCTGTCCG